AGGTTGACACACATATAGAAAGTAAGAAGTAGTTTATTCCGAAGAATAATATGGTAGACGATTGGGAACATAGATTAATGTAATAAACAATTAATTGTTAACTCCTCCCCCTCAACAAGAGAGAGTGCTGTTTAAATAGTCTTAAACCAGTCAATCATGTGGAGGTGTTCAGCTACTGCATAACACTTTTCCTCCTTGGTTTAAGTCCACTATTTCAGACCATTACAGCAAAAATCCACTATGCTATTCATACAGGGTCGAGTCATTTTCATTCTCTTCGTATTCTATTCCATTGGTAAGAAGGAAGTTCGACTCAGATATCTTCTTCCCAAGAACTTCTATTTTGTCGAACAGACTCCCAACAGCATCTTTTACTGATAACTACAATCTTAAACTCTTCTTGGCTTGGGTTATCCATTATCTCTCCTAAATAGCCTCATAAAATGTACATCTTACGACCACGCCTTACACTCATGCAACATCATTCAATAACCCTGTACCTTGGGTGACACTTGGGCCTTGAACATTAGTAAATAAATAGTTAGATAAAATTAAAAACAATCGCCACAGCAAAAATCAAATCTTCACGAACTAATGTTGTCTATGAATTCACTTACCGGCATAAAGAATGTTTCTCTTATAGCAATAATAATAATAATAACAACAACAATAATAATAATAATAATAATTTCAACAAGCCATGGTTACCATTACATTATCGCGCCGATTAACTTGCCATTCATCCGATGATAATTCAATTAAATGCATATCACCAACCAACACGACAAAACACAATGATTTCGACAAATCTTTACCAATTACACAAGTACTATATCACAAAAACTGTAAAACGATTACAAACACGTGGAGGACTGGTTATAAAAACAACGAAGCATCAATAAAATTCTATCAGATTTAGGTACAAACTTACTAAATATATTCCATAGATAATAAAAACGACACGGCATCATTAACTGAAGCGTGAAGTTACGAAACTTTAAAAACCGGTATGACGGGTAAAAACACAATATTTTAAAAACGATGAAACTGACATTGCACAAAAACCATAACCTCTTTTATGATGCCAGAAATACTCGAACGCTGGACAAGTTATATCTAAAGTTTCCTCGGAAACCAGGGAAATGATCCGTGATATAGAAAAAATGAATAAATAAGAACCTTAACAAAGAACTTTCGTTATTCTTTAAACAAATTTACATATATATATATATATATATATATAGTACAGTGTATGCGTGTGCGTGTCCAAGCAACTCCTCCGCTCCCACTGGTCTGTTTTCAAGGATTCACAGCGCATTCAAAAGCCCTAGAAATGTTAAGCGCAGGGAACGATTTTCGTTGAGCTCAGATTCAGGATTGCCAGATTATGCGAAGTTAAAATATATATTAATATATTATACTCGCCATTAAAGTTGCTTTTGTGGACTAAGGCAAGTAAATATTATTTTCCTTTTGTGTCCAAAATTGTAGTGCACGTTTTATTATAAACTAGCTTAAAAGCCGCCATATTGGGCGGCATTTAAGCAAGCTCCTGTGCAGGACCTTTGGTTTGGCCAGCATCACAATAACTAGGGAGGAATAGATGCGAGTTTGTGATTTGGTACTTAATAAGAAAGATGCCATAATGGACGAGAAAAGTCGAAAAATGGCGACCAGTGTACATGGATTGAGAAGTGTAGGGTTGAGTGAAGCCAGTGCACTTTGTTGAAAGAAGTTAGATAATTGGTTGAGCGTCCCACGCTCATTAATGCTTGAGCGTAGCGAATTCACTTGCAGGAGCAAAGCGACTGCACTCCTGAGCTTGCAAGCGACCGGCTAGTATCGGATATCTAGACACACTGATGAGCTGTGAAACAGCGAAATAGTCTGTCTGTGGATGACAGTATATGTGTGTGTGTGCGTGTGTGTATGCATGTATGTGCGTATATATATATATATATATATATATATATATATATATATTGTGTGTGTGTGTTGGAATGGTAATTTTTATTATTATCGGTTTTTCCGTTACTCTTTTTCTATTGTTCACGCTCCTTCATAATGTTTCTCTTTCTTCTTATTCTTTCGCACTCAGTAACCCCTTTTGCCTGTGTCTTTAATGTCTTGCATGGGATGAAATAATATATATATATATATATATATATATATATATATATATATATATATACCCAAGTATATGATTGGTGTATACGGAATAAATTCCAATAAGCAACAATTAGTATTCTTAAAAGATTTTTTCTCTGGTGTCTTATCAAGTGATGATTTTGAATGTAGATTCTTTCAACATCATCACTTGATAAGACACCAGAAGGTGTTGAAACAAAACGGGTATTTTTTAGCGATTTTATAGCATATTTATGTTATAATTTTTAAATAAATGATTATATATATATATATATATTATTTCATCTCATGCAAAAGGAATATATATATATATATATATATATATTAAAAAGAAGAGGGTGCCGCAAACGTTTTTGGTTGTAATGTGGATTTATTGAGAAAAATATTATACTTTGTTTATAATTTCACGACACGTGTTTCTGGTCTGGTCTCGCAACCGTCTTCAGGTGAAAGTGGAGTTTTTTACATATTATTAAAAATAATTAATTTTTCTTCATGTTGTGTGTGTGTGTGTGTGTGTGTGTGTGTGTGCGTGTGTATGTATGTGTGTGTGTGTATGTGTGTGTACTGGTTCCATGTAGCTTGGTAAATATGTGTGTATATGTGTGTGTACTGACTACTTGTGGTGGGATAGTGTGTATGTGCGTATGTGTGTGTATGCGTGTATAAGTACAAATAAGTTTACGAATTCCTCGTAGTAAGGAAATATACGCACGCATATATACACGCATGCTGACAGGAACACGCCAAAATAGAAACAGATCCAAGAGCACATAGAGGTCACTAAAACATTAAAAGATTAAATGCCGATAACTACTCGCTGGACAAACCTTAATTGTTTTATGACCCTTCACGCAGAACTCTTCATTGACAATTCTAGAAAGAAAATTCGGATTGCCAACACACAAACAGAATGTCTCATATCGAGAATATTCCACATTGAACATGAAGAAAAATTAATTATTTTTAATAATATGTAAAAATCTCCACTTTCACCTGAAGACGGTTGCGAGACCAGACCAGAAACACGTGTCGTGAAATTATGTAAAACAAAGTATAATATTTTTTCTCAATAAATCCACATTACAACCAAAAACGTTTGCGGCACCCCTCTTCTTTTTAATATACATACTTTTCTCTCGTTGGAACCACTACAACATATTTCCTTTATATATATATATATATATATATATATATATATATATTTATTAAAGACATTTTTATGTTTAACGTTGTTATTTATAGATACAAGTATTTAAGCAAATGCTCTGTTAAACATAAAAATGTCTTTTAATAAATAAATTGTCGGACCTTGTCCATTTCTTAATATATATATATATATATATATATATATATATATATATATATTATTTCAGCCCATGCAAAAGGAATATATATATATATATATTATTTCAGCCCATGCAAAAGGAATATATATATATATATATATATATATATATATATATATATATATATATATTATTTCAGCCCATGACAAAAGTAAAGCTTTTTCTTTACCAATGCGATTCGTCGTCTGATGGACTTTATCAAGTTAACTGTAAATGTATAAACAGAAATAAAAAAAAATATTTAGGTTTACAAAATTTTTAAATTTAAGAATGCTCAAAAATATTCTTGAATAAAATGTTCTGCACTAAACTTATTTTAAAAATGGTGTACAATAGACAATTCGCGCATCTCTATGTCAGAGATTATTCTGATGACGTAGTGGAAATAATCGAAATTATTTCTATCGTAAATCATTATTTACCTCCCAGATTAATTTAGCTCGAATATGAATAGGTAGTAACCATTTTTCAAATCATGGGTAATTTCTTAGGGTGCTTCGAAAGTAGTGGCTCTTATTTCCAACCCACATCCCGGAAACTGCGATACAAATTTTAACAGATCAAGTTTTCCCCTACTAAGCATTGCATTATTTTTCCACATAGTCTATTCGTTATATATTTTCGCCAGCTATGAACAAACGCCTATATGCCGCACTTGTAAAATGGTTTCTTAAACACATCACCTTCCAAGAGAACGTAATTATTAATGCAACTGGGGAAGCTGTTTAGTAGATGGGGAGTGTCCCGTATTTCCTGATGATATCAGTGATCGATATTTGAACCATGGTTAGAAAAAAGTTTTTAAAAAGAAACAAACTTGTAGACTCTCACCGTACAGAAGAATGACGCAACACAATCTTCCCAGCTTCACTTGATACTTTACTAGATTATATAGGTGCGTATTTCACTCCCGCCAGTGATCGGTGTTTGAGCTCCCATAAAGTCCCATGATTACGAATGCAGATTTTCAAGGCTTGACTAATACGCGCAACACAATGTTCATTTCTCTTCATTTGATTGATTAATTCGTTTTCTAAGGCTTATCAACCCTTTAAAGATTATTTAAAGCCAGGAAATACTTTTAGATTATAAGAAAATTTTAATTAACTGTTATGTAGTGGTTTCACAGTGGAGGCTGGTATTTGTATTAAGTCGGTCCTAAAATAGGTTCGACGTACAAAACGTTACGAACTTGATATAAATAGGTAATGACGCAGTGATCTAGTTGTGGTGGCTGATACTTTAATATCCGACTAACGGTCGTCCGACATCGACTGACTGACCAACTCACTGCCGACTGACTTGTTACTCTTACTACTCCTACTTATTATAGGTGGGAGAGTATATTAAGTATAGAATAGGTGTGTTCCACTATAACATTAACCCATGGGTCTGGGGAAAAGTGGATTCATATCTTTTCCCAAGGATATTTACGCGAAAGTAAATATAACGGACTCAATTCGAACTTGGCACTCCGATGAACAATTCCGACGAACATCTAAGCACACAGCACCTGGTATTTCCAAGCGGTTACTCATTTTGGTACAGATCAACGTTGCTTAACTTCGGTGATCGTACGGGAACCGGTGTTTCAACGTGATATGACCGTAAGCCCTTTCACCTCATTTGACCTTGGACCAGATTAAATTAATTTTAGCAAATATCTACAATTCTGTGTGTATTTCTCTCGTCTTATCACCTCGCATCTTTCAGAAAAGTACTGTCACTGACATGTCACAATGGTTAATAGAAGAGAGAGTGAATGACTCGGTACTTGGACAAAATATTTTCCCTTAATTTGTTTAGGAATTTTAAGATGAAAAATTTTCATTACTATATGATATTACATTATGATATTATCAATCTTATGATATTATCATCATTACGATATTATTATCCTAATGATATTATTATCATTATGATATTATTATCATAATGATATGATTATATTATTATCACTATGAATGATATGATTATATTATTATCACTATGATATTATCATCCTTATGATATTATTATCATTATGATATTATCATCATTCTGATATTATCATTATGATATTATTATCCTTATGATATTATCATTATTATGATGTTATTATACTTTTGATATTATCATCATTATGATACTATTATCACTATGATATTATCATCATTATGATATTATCATTATGATATTATTATCCTTATGATATAATCATCATTATGATTATTATTATGATATTATCATGACTATATTATTATCATTATTATGATGTTATTATGATTATGATATTATTATGATTATGATATAGCTTGCTATTTGGAGCAGCATGTTTCTGCCGGTTGTTATATGTACAACATTACGAACGGTATACTCTCTGACCTTCTTCAGATATCTCTCTTCGTATTCGGTAACGTCCACGGAATTTCTAACCGAACTCTTTATTTATTTCATGGGAGCATATTAATCTTATTCTACTCCCATGTTTAAGGAGGGTAATTCATATCAGGGTGACAACTCGTATCGCTTAATACTCACCAGTCTTATTCACCTTTGTGTCATTTGTCCGTTTCTTCAACTGAGTCGTGACTTTTCAGGACTATCAAAGCCAGCGATTGAATTCACAACCGCTATGAAATAAGATGTTTTAATCAACACTTTAATCAACTAGACCATTTTATCTTTCTCTCTATGAATTAAATCGTTGATTAAAACACAGTTGTGATTTCTTTCTTTAGTTCTGATAGTGCTGAAGTAACATACTCTTGTTTAGTGGAAGAAATGGACAAACCATACAAATGTGAAGAATGATGAATATAAACTGATTTGAAATATCCCCAATGATATGGAAAACGAAACAATAATATTATACTCTCATGGACTGAATAAAAGATTGGATTAAAAATTCTTAGTATGACGACGTACACCTGAAGAAGCCCAGTAGGCACAACGGCTGAAACGTTTTGAGTATTACAACAAAGATGATCATATTGGTCCAAAATATCAAAACACGTAATACTTGCTTCTAAATAACTTGTACAAGCAGCACAACAGCTTTTACTGCTACTCCTATTTCAACCTTGACAGGGATCAGTCAGTAAATTTTATTTTATTAACTGCGTCAATGCAAAAATGATTCTTTAGCAATCGTCACAGTCAACGGTGCAATTGGGGTGGAACAGTTAGTGCCCTTGGCGCCAAATCTCGGAGAGTCACCAATTTGATTGCAAGTGTCATTCAGAATTTTAATTACAGATTATCAAGTATCGCCATTTTGTTTCTCATCTGCCTAGAACGGAATCAACCGCGTTTACTTCTCTTACAAGCATTCCTCTTACTAGGAAGATTATTAAAGTCTCGAGAATTGATATTACATTTTTTATAACTTCTTCATTTTATCTATTATTATTAGCAGTAGTAGTGAATTTTTAGTATTATTTTTATCTTTATTATTAGTAGTAGTAATAGTAATTTTTATTATTAATAGTAGTAGTATTTATTAGTAGTAGTAGTAGCAGTTGAAATGGTAATTATTATTTTATTATTACGAAAAATTAGTAGTACTATTTATTAAGTAGTAGTATTATTTGGCGTTAGTGATATTTATCATTATTATTAGTAGTAATAGTATTTATTACTCATGTTAGTAGCCTTTTTCATTATTATTTCATAGTGGTCGTATATGTCATTATTATTAATTAGTAGTGGTATTTATTATTATTATTAGTAGTAGTAGTAGTTGAAATAATTATCAACTGTACTAGTATTTATCCTTATTATTATCATATACCATTAATAGTAGTATATTTATTATTAGTTGTCATCTTTACTTGTTATTATTATTTTTTTATTTCCCTCGTTGTTGTTATTATTATTATTATTATTATTATTATTATTATTATTATGTAGTTGTAGTAGTAGTTAATTAAAGATTATCAAGTATCGCCATTTTGTTTTGCATTTACTTTGAATGGAATCAGCCCCTTTCTGCTTCTCTTACGAGAATTCCCCTTATTAGGACGATTATTAAGGACTCTAGAATTGATATTACATTTTTTATAACCTCTTCACTCTGTTTTATAACCTTTTCTGTTTATTACTAATGCGTCAATTCACTTTTTTGCACATAACTACCGCAATGTCTACGGTGGCAACTTAATATGAAACATTTGCGATGTTCTTCTTCTTCTTTTTCTTCCTCTTCTTCTTCTTCTTCTTCTTCTTCTTCTTCTTCTTCTTTTTCACCACCGATAATTCTTATTTTATCATGGCGAGTTTTATATTCAGTGGGTGCCAATACTGTGCAACCTGATACAAGATGATCAGTTGTTTCTGGATATTTATCAGAGTATCTGCATTTGCGGTCAACACAATTTTTCAGTATGTGTGCTTGGTAATTTCTAGTTAGCAAGCATTGGTCACGTGCAGCAAGAATAAAACCTACGTTTCAGCTTTTAACTCTGCACTACGTCACCACTAAATTATTATTATTATTATTATTATTATTATTATTATTACTTTTCGATTTCTGCTATGGCCACACTGCCTACCAAGTCTGCGGGAAGACTTAAGGCAGGTAGGGTTGTGTTGTTATGGCTAAATTTTATGACATGCTTTTCTAACTCTCACAATATCACTAGCGTTTCATAGACAAAGTTTTTCTTTATGCGTGGGATGTATTTATCAAGACAATTTTTGTATTTCTCTTAAGCTGGAATTTCCAGAGATTTTTTCCAATGTGTTGTTGTGTTCCTTTGTCATTCAAAGCGCACCTACTATGACAGGTATTATTATTATTATTATTATTATTATTATTATTATTGTTGTTGTTGTTGTTTTTGTTGTTGTTGTTGATGCTGATGATGATGATGGCACACTAGCAAAGTGATGCTTGGGTACAGATATAGATATATGCCCATCATGACAGCCACTCTGAAAAGGATTATCAGAGCAGCTACATCGGAACCAAATTTGCACCATATGGTGACAGGTTTTGATAAAAGCAACGCATAACCATGCAGATGAGACCCAATAAAAAATACCTTCAGCTTAGCTAACCCCGGTCAGCTAAGACGACCTCAGATTGGTGTTGTTCCCATATATCTAGATATAGCTCCAAAGTCAATTCGGCTGCCTCGTCTTTCAAACTTAAAAAGAAAAAAAAAACAACTCTCTAGACACCCGGTTATGATGTCCCCCCCCCCATCTACTCTAACTCTGCATTATTATTACAATTATTGTTATTATTATTATTATTATTATTATTATTAATGATAATAATAATAATGAGGTTCTTTTTACAGAAGATGCAGGTGGCATGCAATCAGAAAAAAATTAATTGTGGTCATTGAATGGTGATAAATCTACAGAAAACAAGAGGAGAAGCCATGATTTAAGTTGTTCACCAGTATCTAGATGTGCCACCCCAAATTACTATGGATGTCTCATCCGTCAAACTTATATGTAAAAAAAAAAACATACTCGACGGCCGGCTATAATGTTTCCCTTCTATTCTCGCTCATGAACAGAGATTCATAGTGCATCAGCCCCTAAGGAGACATACTCAACTGATTAGAGCCAGAACCGTGGCAAAGCACATCTGTGTTATTGGACGGGATATTTACTGGAGCCCATCTTAATTCAACAATATACATGTTAACAACTCCAGTCAATTTAGATAAGAAGCCATGAAAGCCTTGTCCAGTATAACATCAGAACATTATTATTATTATTATTATTATTATTATTATTATTATTATTATTATTATTTGTTACACACATTTATTATGCATATATACTCGTCTGGCGCTTGCAATTCTTCTTAAATCTGCGGTATTATCGTACTCTCGCCAATTGCAGTAATAATGTAGTTTGAGATATATTTACACACACACATACACACACACACACACACACACACACACACACATATATATATATATATATATATATATCAGCCAATCTAACAATGATCTCATCTCACTTGCTCCATATGTGGCCTTCTTAGCGGGTCTTAAATGCCACTTAAGATTATCGCACAAACTTTCATAACTGAATCAATAATCTATCAGATCCTCATACATCGAAACCGAAGGGAGAGTCCATTATATATATATATATATATATATATATATATATATAAGTGTGACGTAGATTCCTGAGGAGGCACACACTGTGACGAAACATGATTGTTTTTATGTAGCGGTTTATAACATGTTCTTGTTATAACTGTTAATAGATATTATATGATGGTTGCTAATTCGTGTCCGAGTACGACCATTAGTTCTTATCTTTTTGGAGAAGATCTACTGATGTGCTGAATGAATGTGGGTCTTTAGCCCAGTACTCTAGTACAAACAGGGCACTTTATTGGTTCGGTGGTACATTATCATGCAATTTGAAGTATCGCATGAAATCGCTTCCGGACCTGCTTCTGGGCCCGCATGTCTTACCACGAATATCACATTTCAGTTGCTGGACGTCTACGGCTTTATAGTCAATTGCCACCCTGCGTCGGTGCGCTCTCAAACGACTCCTTAGACCAGCCATCGACAAACACACACTATCACAATCTGTACACGTCAGATCGAGCTGCCTTCGGGTGCCTTCAGGACTTTATATATGCACAC